CCCCCCCCCCCCGGTTTAATTTCTCTTTTGCTTTAACATTAACTTGTGTAAGACAGTCTCCCAGGATGAGCTGATGCTTTTTAGGTTAAGTTTAAGATATGAGCCTTTAAAAAAAAAATCCCTTTAATCATAAAGGAGTATTTGCTTAAAATCAAGGAACTCTTCCCAGGAGTTTCTGTTGTTGCTGCCTTGGCCCTTATTTTCTGACTGGAATCTAAGCCAATCAGCATATCAGCCAGAAAATAATTTCTACCCTGCTTTTGTGCTCCTGTAACAGATAAGGCCTAATAATTTAGACTTGTTGACCTTAATTTAATATATAGTGTGAATTTGAATGAATATGTTATATTTCATTATGCACATTTGTGTTTGCAGCCTATTCGACACTTGGAATATTCTTCTTTTAAGAAGTCCTTATTGGGCAGCGTCTCTGACAGTGGAACTGTAACTTTGTGGGATGTGAATAGTCAAATCCCCTGCCATAATTTTGAAAATGTTCATAAAGCTCCAAGCTCAGAAATCTGCTTTTCTCCAGTCAATGAGTTGCTATTTATAACCATAGGTTTGGATAAGAGGATCATTCTCTATGATACTTCAAGTAAAAAGTGAGTCAAGTAACTTGTTTATAAACATTTTTTTATCAGTGGATCTCCAGTAGATTGTAAATTCAGAGAAGTCTGTGAATGAGTGATTTAAAGAAGCTGTTAGTTTTAAATTCAGATCATGTCCAGAATATGTGTGGATAGAATGTTCTAGAAATGGAGTGGTCATACTCCATTAATAGCCCTTTATTTAGGAAAAGTTTAGTATCTTGGTGTTGCAGAGCACTCGGGTGCCCTGTGCCTGAGAACAGAAAAAGCAGCTCAGGAGAGACCCCTAGTGGCCAGAAGAGGGAGGTCCAGCTGCCAGTTACCAGGGCAGCGAGAGTAACAGGTGCTGGTTGCCAGGACAACTGCTGGGGGGCCAGCTGACAGGAAGGGGCAGGGCCTGGCTTGTATAAGCCCAGGCAGGAGGGCAGTTCCCCTCCGACGATCGAGGGAGGAGAAGCTTGGCTAGTACTGCCGAAGGGGAGAACTCTGACTGTGTGAGCATCCCCTGGTTGCTGCTGGGATTGGAGTATTCTTCCTGGTAGGGATTGAATGTTGTTTGACCGGACAATCTAGCTCTTTATGTTATAGCCCAGGGGCTTTGTGTTTTTTCTGTTTTCTGTTTTGACCAGAGGACTAGGTGAGGCTATTAGGGGTTGGAGGAGGCCTCATAGGGACTCCACAGTAGTGTGGGGACCCCAGCGCCAGAGAGGGCGCAGCATTTTGGGGTGCACTGGCCCCAGCCCCAGAGCAAGGGGGGCAGTGAGGAGCCCCAGAGAGAGGGCCACGATGAGTGAGGAGCCCCAGGGCAAAGGGGGGCAGGGAGGAGCCCCAAGGAGGTAAAGAAGAGGGCCAAGTCACAACAGGGCCCAGGTCAAAGAAAAAACTACGTCAGTACCATCTGTGAGGCTTGGGCTGTGGTGTAGGGGTAGAAGAGGAGCCGCAGATAGCGCCCCCTGGCACCGGGGCACATAAAGTGGGCAGCCTCCTGCTAATTATATCAGTCAATTAATCCATTAAGATCAAGGCATGGCATTAAAGTAAGCAGGTGGTTGGCCCATAACAGGAGGGCAGAGTCACCCCTAGAAAGGCTCCGGTAGCGATACTCCTGTCACACTTGGTAATATGGAATATGTACATGTACTAGAGGCCTGCTCTAATATCCATTGAGGTACAAGGTGTTTTTCATCGATTGCAATGGATGTTTGAGCAAGCCCTAGGAGAGAAGTTAATTTACAGATGAGTAGCTGAATTACCAAAGCCTGCAGGTATGTAACTCTCTATCTTTTTCAATGCCATTATTTTAACTATATCAATAGCAAGTTGTTTATAGTTTCTTCATATATATTTTTTTTCTCTATGAAGACTACTGAGAACTCTAGTAGCTGAAGCTCCTCTGACGGCAATAGACTTCATGCCTGATGGTACTACTTTGGCTGTTGGATCTTCCCGTGGAAAGATCTACCATTATGATTTAAGGAAGTTGACATCACCAGTAAAAACAGTTGGTGCTCACAAAACCTCTGTGAAGTGTATAAGCCTGCAGTTCAGTTGCACTTTTTCTAAGGTAAACATTTGCTTTCTTGTGGCTCTTAATTAGGGTAATAAAAAGGAATCATGTCCTTAGAACCTACAAAAGAAATGTTTGTACTTTTAATTTTGCATATATAATGGATGCCAAAGATGGGAATTGATATAGCAAGATGAACTGGATCAATTGGACAGTGTCCAGAATGTGTTTTTAATGCAGTTTCAGTAATCAGGGGTGGGTTATTTTCCTGTTTTTTGTTGTTTTTTGGGGGGGGTTGTTTGTGGGATTTTTTACATGAAACTGTGTTCCACTTTTCTAGCTCTCATATGGTAAAGCTAGTGAAATGTAGTCTTCAACTTCTTGTGTGTGCCTATATTACTGTCACAGATCAGAACATGTCATGTTTTGTATCAGTTTGCAGTTTCTTTTAAGTACATCTTTCCTAGGAGTCTCCCATGGCTTTGCCATTTGAACTGATCCCTAGACTTTAGCACCCATGGGTTTGTTTTTTTCTAGTTCCAATTTGACTTGGCCCTTGCAGGAATCCTTTGTCTTGGGAGCTTAACCAGGAAGTTTGCAGTGGCACAGTTCAGTCTCTTTATGACAAAGTAGGATTTAATGGTCAACAGGAGCACAGTAGCTAGAAGTACTGGTCAAAACAAGGAAGGCCTACATGTTATGAACCTTAGAATCTTTTGCAGGTTTTTAAAAAGTTCCCCTCAGCCTAGCCACTGTTACCTTTTTGGATTGGAAGACTTAGCCCCTTTGGCTGTCTCTTTCCTTCTATCAGAGTCTTGCTTCCAGCTTCAGCTGCTGCTCAGTCCCCTATTTTCTCTCTAGACAAGAGTCTTTAACTGTTTAGGGTGCAGATTGACATGGCACTTCAATCAGTTTTGATGCAGTTTAAATCTCAAGTGTCCAGACATATAAGCCAGCTTGGAACTGTTTACGCCTCCTGAACTGTTCCAAAATACACACGGATAATTAAGTATTATTTTTAATTGGTTCTCTGTGAACTGTTTTAGTGTTATGTGAGGACACCAAGTTTTCTGCAGTTAGTCTGTGGTCAGTCCTCCAGACCTCCCACGCTGCACTGCTCCTTGCCCCCCGCAACTCCTGCTCTGCAAGTGGCTACTTTGGTACACAGCCAGAGCTCTACTACACCAATCTCTGTTGCCTGCAGTGTTCCTAGCTGGAGCTTCTGGGAGCAGCTCTCTGCTGTTTTTAAAGAGCTGGCCCATTTCTTTCCACTGGTGGCATCGGAGTCCTCGGGCAGCCCCCCAGAGCCTGTGCTCCAAATCAGCCTGGGATGCACTTCCCCTGGTCAGTTTTTACAAGAATTGAAGTAAATTGATTAGTGACTTTGAGGATTTGCGGGGCGTGTGCGTGTGTGTGGAAAGTACTCTTTAAAAACCATAAAAGCTCTTGCAGCTCTAGAGCCAGGTCCTAAGAACTCAGAAGCAGGGATCCAGGTAGTTCCACTGTCTTACACAAAAACCTAGTCACTCCCAGTCAGGGTACCATCCATAGATTTTCGTAGTGTGCTTTATTGAACCTAGTGCTAGTGAGAAGGGGAAGCAGAAAATTGCAGTTGGGCTGGGTACTTGCTACCGCTCCATTATTCAACAGCATCACAGTGCCTAGAAAGTGATGGTTCTGCTTGGAACCCTTAGCAGTTGGACACATCTGCCCTGAGACAATTGAGTACTGGTTTCCAATCAGTCATGTTCTTGGAACAGTTCAAGTGTTATGTCTATCCACACCCTTAGTGGCCCCTGATTCTAGGCTTGAACCAGGGAAAAATATATTTGGTACTGTGAGTGGAGCCAGGCAGGGGGACAATTAATAGACTCCCACTTTAAGAATCCTTGTTTTAATTTCTGGAGGTATCCTAACTTGCATGGTTTCATTTCCTGTTTCTTTCCACTGCGTAACTCTTGATTTTAATTCCATGTAGTTAGAATAATATCAAGCAGTTAAGCTGGTGCATATATTGCTATGTTCAGGTACATTACTATACAGAAATCTCTTACACTTTTCAGAACTGCTTTAAGGTTTCTTAATCTTCTAAACTTACTTCTAAACAGCATCTTGGGTTTAAATCTTTTTTAGACCAACCTTGATATTTTAATATCTTGTGAAACGTATCCATGTTTTATGCAGAAAGAATTTAAATGAAAGCACTATTAATTTTTTTAATTCTTTAATTTTTTCAGTCCAGCCTTAGTAAAGGCGCTTCAAGTAAGACCACATCCAAAAGAGCAGATGTCAAAACAGGTAGTAGCCTTGGAGGAATTCAGAATGCTGGGATCATTAAACATTTTTCCTCTAATACACCAGCTACAGTTTTACCACAGCCTACCTCAACAGCTGAGAGCAAAGGAACAGATATCATTCAGGATAAAGCAGGTAAAGGATCAAGTTCCTCTCCTTGTTTAAGAATATTCTGAGCTTGTGGAAAAAAACATTGGAGCAAAACTTTGTATGCTGACCATCACTGCAGTGGGAAAGTTCAGAGGAAAAAGGATTTGTCATTACTTCATAATCAATCATATGGGTGTGTAAATATATCTAGCAAAGTCGTTCAGGTGCTTTACCAAAAGGCCATCTCACTGTCTTCCTACATTTTCTTGACTTATTCATATGCCTTCTAACAGCTGAAATGAATGAGGAAATGGACTACAAACAGCAGCTTCATTTGTTACCTAACCTTAATTCATTTTCAGACTAACTTGTTCTGCGAAGTGAATAAGGCAGAGGTTCTATAGAAATAATAGTAAGTTAAAGGGGGCTGGGGAGGTGCAGTTGCTGTGCAAGGTTGACAGCTCAGAGGGTGCAAGTTTGAGGCCATAGCAGAAGTGCTCATTGCACAGCCTGTCAGATTCTGATGCATCTGTGAATCCTTCCAAATACCTTGTCACAAAGACATGAAAAAGAAAAGGACATCGTTAAAGACCACCTTTAATGCATGTACACGAAGAGGCTGCATTTAGATGGCACAAGTAATCTTAGTTCTGGTACTTCTGATTCTTAACTTGCAAGCTTAATTTTCTCCTAAATGTAATTTGTTTTGCTTTTTCTTTTCATTCTGTCATTTGAAAACATTAATTTCCCATTGATGATTGACATGAGTGGGTTCTAGAGCCACAGCACAGTCCTCTACCATTTGAATTAAATGAACAACTGGTAGGAGTATAGGCCTAACTGCTTGAAAGGGAATGGAGATGTTGGCTGAAACCCACTGGCAAAGAGCTGTTCATTGACTGTTGATATTCAGGAACTTCGGGTTTATTTCAGGTTCTGTAGGAGTATGTTTAGTGCTTAGAAACTCTTCTGCTGTTCTGACTCTCTCCTAGTCCTCCTGCTTTGACTTCCTTATTTTGCATCTCTTCCTATGCCTTTTTCCTTATTCCTTTGCATTTCTGTCTGGCAGCTTCCTACTCCTTCATGCTTCCTGGCTTCCAGCAGGTGGAGCATTGAGAACACAGAAAAGAGCGTTCCAGCTCCCAATACCTGCGCGTTGTGCCACAGCCCATCCCAGTGGCTAAAAAGAGCAGTTACAGAAGAAGAGAAATGTCATATACATTGCCCATCTTTTTTTAAGGGAAGACCCAAGATAAAGTTCTAGAGCATATCATGAAACAGTTAATTTGAAAGCACCTAGAATATAACAAGGTGATAAAGTACAGCCAGTGTATGTTGTCTAAAGCAAGCCATGCCTTACCAACCTGTTTTCCTTCCAGAACAAGGTGACTAGTTTTGTGAATAAAAAAGCAGCAGTGGATGTGATACTTTGACTTTAGTAAAGCTTTTAATATTGTCCCCATGACAGTCTTATAAATAATTTTAAAGACCTATGCTCATTTTAAATAAGCTAAGGTCTAGATAAAATTGCTGTAAGGTGAGTGTGTAACTCATTGCATAATTGAAAATCATTGATTATTCTTTGAGCACAATATCATATTGGATCCCTGAGGATCCTCCCTGGGTCCTGCATTAGTATCTTCGTTAATGACTTGCAGAATTGACTTGAATGCCCAGTTAGTTAATCTGCAGTTGGCACCAAGCTGAGTGGGGCACTTTTAGAGGGCAAGAGTAGGACTCAAAATGACCCTAATAAATTGGTAAAATTGTCTGAAATAAACAGGATGAACTTCAGTAAAGACAAATAAAAGTACTATAGTTAATAATAAACAATCATATGCACAAGTACAGAGTGACTAGTGATGGTGTAGTGCTGCAGAAACTTGGGGGTTATATAGGATCACAAGCTGAATCTGAATCCACGGTATACACTGTTTTCTCATGTGCCCTACACCCCTGAATAAGATGCATATACTCCTTTTTTTGGAGGGTGGAATGAAGAGGAAACTACCTTTCTTTGAAAACAGTGATAATTGCCTGTGTTTTCCCTATGAAAATACTCTATCTCTAGTAGGGCAGGGTGGATCAAAAACCTGTGGATGCTTTGTTAACTTCCTAGCTGCAGGATGCAGGAGGTATTGTTGACTGCCCACCTGGTGGTAGAAGAAGCAGGGCCAGACAGTTTGGCCCAGCCAACAGTGCCTGCTGAGTCGGGTGGGGATGGGGCGGGATCCATCTGAAACTGAACTGCCAAGCCCCAATTCTTGAGCCACGTGGGTCCTCTGCTGTCTTGGCAGGCACTGATAGCAACCCACCCAGCTGCAGAAGTGAATCCAGGCAATTCTGTTCCAACAGGATTCGAACCTCTGTTCTCTGCATTTTCTCATTTAAGATACGCACCTGAATTTCGAATAGCTAATTTTTGGGAAAAGAGGTGCATGTATCCAAGTAAATAGGGTAATGATGGGGCGGGAGAGCAGGGAGGAAGCTGATAGCATACTGAGATTTATTGTTCTATCCAAATGGGAATTCATTCTTCCACTCTTTCAACGCTTGTGAGTCTCCACATGGAGAACTGGGCTCAGTTCATGCACTGCACTTGAAGGAAGATTCTGGACAAACTGAAGAATCTAAAGGAGGGGAACAAGAATGATCAGAGATTGAGAAAATATGACCTTTGAGGAAAGCTGTGGAGAATTGGGATTCTTAATAGGAGAAGACTTGAGGGAGACTTGATAAGTCCTCAAAACAAAATGGCTGTTATAAAGAGGAGGGCAGTCAACTATTTTAAGATTTCACAGGGGACAGAGCAAGAACTAATAGACTTAAATTGATATTTTAAGTTTTGTATCGGGGAGAATGTTCTTTGTGAGAGTGATTAAGCACTGGAACAGGAGACTGTCATTGGAAATTATTTTTAAGTGTCAGTGGGTGCATTTACATGTGAAATTAATGCAACACAGTAAACTCTGGAGCAGTTTGAGCTGGAGTCAGCTTTCCCAAGTGCATCAGTTTGAGCTGGAGCAGAGAAGCCCTGGCCTGGCAGCAGGTTCAGGGGGTCAACCCTGGGCTTTGGGCGGTAATGGAGGGGCTGGCTGGGGCATGGAAGTGCTAAAGTGCAGAGCCGTATGGCAGGCAGCTCCCACACTTTAACACCCTCACGCCCAGCTGTCCCCTGTCACTGTCTACATGTGTGTTTCATTGCACTTAATTACTCTGCTGTAAGATGGTACTGTTCCTGACAGTACTGTCTTATGGTGGAGTTGATTAATTTACTGTGCCGTAATACTGGTGCATGTATAAACAGTGACACTTTACTGTGGAGCTGATTAGTCAATTCCACAGTAAAGAGCACATGTAGATGAGCCTGGTTAGGTCAACAGTTCTTTAGGATGGTTTAGGCATCCTTTTTGAGGAGGTGGTTGGACTAGGCGACATCCAGTTCTGGACCTAATTTTCTAGGATTCTATCTTGGTTCACGTATACTCTAACAATTCCTTGCATTAGCAGCTTTCCTTCTGGCATTTTCTAAATATAAGTACTGACTTAGCACTTTTTCATCCTGCTTTTCATTGTAATATAGTTCTGTTTTAGTTTTGTACAGGAAATAGGTATTTTGCTGACTTAGGTCGCTGGTGAAGCAACCATTATCGAATCTTAAAACAAAAGAATGTAAAAGTTTCCAGCCTACTTAAAATCAAAACAGCTATGAAACTATTCGATGTTTCATAAAGTTAGGAGTAGCTGCAATTTAATCGCCAGAATGTTGACCTTGCACCCTGAAACTGCATGCGCTTCTCATAGAATAGCTATATATAGCCTGAAGTAATTGGCAGTCACAGGATCTTTTGTATATAATTGATCTTGTTGAGCTTTGGAATGGTAAGAGGGCTTAGTTCACCTGTGGGCTGTTTGGGCTCTAACTGCAATTATAAAGCTTCACTTAGTGAGCTCCCTTGGAGAGGTGCTCCTCAGAGATGGTTGTATTTTGTTAGCAGGGACTTGTTCTACCTCGGTCTTTTTTCCAATTTTGTAAGAAATGGATGATGATTTGTTTTCCCACCCACCCACTAGGACTCACGAAAGAAGAAAGGTGGGGAATGTGGGAAGAGTTGGGCTAACTAAATCTTCCAGGGAGATGGCTCTGAGTTTTGAAAATTTTCTGCCTCTTGTTTGAGAATCCATTTATCAGAAATCAGTATAAAGGAAACAAAGGAATAAGATTGCTGTGCAACATATTAGGATTTTTTAAGACATTATTTTGCATTTGACCTTTTCTTTGTTAAGAATGTTATATCCACAAATGCCTTTTGTGCCACAGTAACTGTAGGAAGGAGAAAAGGTTTAATCTTTTAAAGTTGAGCCCCATACCTGTGCTGAGAAGCAATTGCAGTTTGCACTTAAAAATGCAAGGTGTTTTTTATAGTTACTTTTATACACAACAGAAATAGTTAGATGGCATGTAGATATGTAGCTGTTGGGATGTGTTTTGTTAACACGTTAGTTTGACATTATATTGTGCTAAATAAACACAATGTTTTTAATTAGCAAGTTGTTTGTAAGAGTTCTGACCCTTAATTTTAAAGGAAATAAATGCCATCACTGTCTAGGGTATTAATTCTTCTTGCATTTAACTTCAGTAAATTTTAGGTCTGAAAAAATATTCTCAAATCTTGAAACTATTCCAAGGGCTTTCAAGACTCAAAAGATCTTTTTAATGAAGCAACTTTTATGCGACTAAACTTTTTCTCTTTTTAAGAGAGGAGAAATATGTTTAACAACACTAATTAAGCAATAAGCCACTGCAGTCTATAGGGACTCAGATTAATGACCTCCCTTGGGTATGCAGTGAAACATGAGGTGAAGTAGAATGCTTCCATTGTACCCAAGAAGTGTCACTAATCAGCATTACTGCATAGACCGGAGAATCTGATTTCAGTTACAGTATGCACTTATTAAAAGCATTTATCTTTCCTATTTTAAATATTTTATTGACTGCTAGCACGCAAAAAGAACCGATCATAATATAAAAGTAAACATTTTTTTAAAAGAAAATTAATACTTGAAATTGGGAATGGGATAATGCTTTCAAGTAGCCTATTTTTCTTTGAGTATGTACTAAAAAACTGCTTACATTTAATGGAGACTTCTTTGGGTGAAGATGTGAGAGATTTCTCCTGCTAATTTAACTCATATGTGGACTTTTGGAATACATGTGTTAGAGAGGAAACGAATCTGGGGCCAGAGAACATGTTGTGCTAAAATTAAGTCCAGCTGAATCAGAATCTGATTCAGTGGATGGGTCTGGTTCTGCAGAAACTTGTGGACATGATTAAAGTTACCTGCAGAGTTGTGGACTCCATTTGGATCACTGTATACAATGTCACTTGTATACAAGTGCTTGAAGATGGATAGACTCTAGGAATGGGTTTTGCCCTGTTCATTAACAGACTATCAAATCAAGCTTTTCTTTTAGATTCAGGGAGGCTGGTTTGTACACCGAGTAGCTAATTACTGTATTCACTTGAATATAAGGCAACCTTGAATATAAGATGACCCACCCCCCAATAATTAGATTCTGTATTGGGGAAAATTATCAATTTGTAATAATGCTCTAGGTATAGAATATATTTATTGGAAGTTTGCCTTTGAATTTGTCTCCTTCCCACTGCTAGAGCAGGGAAAATAAATCTGGGAAATCAGGTAGCCCCCCCCGCCCTCCCCCCTT